TGCACATCTCACACCGGGCTCCCCATCCTTCCATGTGGGACATGGCGTGTGCACACCTCACATTGGGCCCCCCCTCCCATACGGGACATGGCACCTACACACCTCACACCAGGCTCCCCCTCCCTCTTTCCCTGCGGGACGTGGCGCCTGCACATTTCACACTGGGCTCCCCCTCCCTCTTTCCTTGTGGGATGTGTGCACACCTCACACTATGGCACGTGCACCTCACACTGGGCTCTTTCCCTCTGCAGTGGGGGGTGTGTGCACACCCCACCCCAGGCTCTTTCTTAGCCCCCTCCTTTGACCTTCACATGTTCCAGTGCGGAGTCAGCCACTCAGGTCCAAGGCTGGCTCTTGTAATCCTGTATGTTATTTGGGGCCTGTGTGGGGTGGGCACACGTGGTGGCCTGTGGGGCAGGAGGTGCTGGCTCCTCAGGGCTGGCAAGGCTGGGGGGTTGGGTGCACTGGCATCTGACTGGGTCCCGGGAGTTCCACGTGGCTGTGGGGTGGGGCTGCCTGCGGGGTGGCCTCCAGACCGATATGCTATGCGGTCAGCTGGCATTGCGGGCACTGGGGGTGTGTGTGGCAGCAGCGGGAGCAGCTGGCAGGTGGTGTGGCAGGTATTGGAGGTGGCAGGGCAGGGTCAGGGATCAAGGCCCTGCTGTGGGGCAGGGTGGAGGCCGCTCATCCCGGGAGCAGAGTGGTTGGCCCCTGGGGCATGGCGCCTGCTACAGAGAAGGAAGGCTGGAATGTGGCTGGTGGCTGGTGGCCGTGTGACACTGCCTTCTGGCTGCTCGCGAAGCCCGTTAGGAGCCCAGGCTTCTGTTGGTGTGCTGCCTGCAGTGTGGATTTTGTGGGGTGTGATTGCACCGTTCCTTGGGGCTCTGCTCTGGCCCTGTTTCCGCAGGACAAGAGTGTCCCTGACCCCCGGGTCCTGGGTGTCAGGCTGTGTTATCCACGTCCCTAACTCCAGGTGGGACTTGGGGAGATGTTACCTGCTCACGCTCACGTGTGGCATAGCCATCCATCCAATGTTGGATTACCCACTGAGCAAGGTAAGCACGGGCTCCCTTGTGCTTACTGACTAATCTGTACTGAACAATTTCACACATTTCCACCACATCAGAGATTCTGCTTCTAAGCCTTGCTGGCATGTCTGTCTCCCAGCCCCACAGCTCTTCCTATAGAATCAAAGTCTCTTCAAATTGATAATCCCTGACAGGGATGGACGACCCAGGAAGCAAGGTACCAAAACCAAACCAAACTCACTGCCGTCGAGTTGATTCCGACTCATAGCGACCCCCATTGGGTCTCCGAGTCAGTAAATCTTCATGGAAGTAGATTCCCAGGCTTCCTTCTGCGGAGTGGCTGGTGGTGGGTTTGAACCACAAACCTTCTGGTTAGCAGTCAGATGCCTTCGGTACTGCACCCCCAGAGCTGCTTAGGAAGCAAGGAAGATGTAGTTAAAAAAAAAACTGTGGAACAGTTCACTACAGATTAGTCAGTAAGCACGAGTAAGCCCGTGCTTACCTTTCTTGTTGGGTAAGCCCTCCTATGGGCATTTCTAGTCTCACGGGGACCCCTTTCCTGATCAGAGGTGGAGTTTTCTCAGAGCTGAGTGTTCAGGTTACCTCGTGGCTCTCTGACAGGAATATATCACAAATGGGATGGCCTTAACAAACAGGAGTTTATTAACTTTGGAGGCTTTAAGTCCACATTCAAAGTGCCAGGCTCTAGGGGCTGGGTGAAAGCCCCTCAACCTTGGGGTCTAGCTCTGCCTCCTGCTCCCGGCCCACTGCAGCTAGAGGCTTTTCTTCACTCAGACAGCTACTGGCTGCTGAGGCTGAGAAGCCCTAAGGTTAACAAGTAAAAAGGCACAGTCCTGATGTTACCAAACCACATGGCAGGTCATTAACTTAAGTCCATTGTAAGTCCCAGGGTCGGCAGAGCATGGCAGGCTGCTGAGCAATGACACGGCTACATGCAGGGTCCAAGTGTGCCATAAGCTGGAGACCATTCCCAAGGCTTCTCCTTATACACAGGAAGCAGGCTACATCCTAAAGGCAGCTACTCAGCTGCTTGTGGTAGATCCCACCGTGGAGTTGATTGCCAGTCTCATCATGGGGAATATCTACCACCATCTTGCCCAGCCACTCAGCCAGGCCCAGCCAAGTTGACACACAAACATAACCACCACGCTGAGCCCTGGGGCTGGAACATCAGGAGATGGCACCAGCTGCACAGGTGGCTCTGCCAGGCCTTCCCCTTCCCAGGCTTGCTGTGAAGGGTGGCCAGGGAGCTGGGCCTGGGCAGGCATGTGGACCCCAGGTTGGGCCCAGCCTTCCTACTCTCTCCTGCTCATGGTGAGGTGCCATGGAGGTGCTGGGGACTTCGAGACCAGCCGGGGCAGACGTGTCCAGACGCCCCAGTTCCTCGGGGGAGCTTCTCTTACCCCCACATGCGGCCATGTGGAACAGGGAGCCCAGCCGGCTGTGCTCACGTGGTCTGTGTGTGGTGGGGACAGCCAGATCCTGCCCTGAGCTCCTTCCCGGTGGGGCTCAGCAGGTTGGCACAGGCGGCACCCGTGGTCTCCCAGGGAGCCAGTGCAGGGCCAGACCCAGCGCCCTGGGGGGGCAGTAGGGAACCAGGGCAGCCTGGGTGCCAGGCCCTGGCCCCTGGGCCACTGCACACCCATCTGCCCTTGGCTGCAGTGGCAGAAAGGCTAGCCCTGAACCCTCCAATCAGCAGGGGCCCTGGGAGTTGGCATGTCAGCTGAGTGAGTGGCGTCTCCAGGGTCAGGGACAGGGCTCAGTGGCCTTGGGGTGGGGGGCTGCCACTGTGAGCTGAGCAGGAGAGATGAGACGTGGCAGAGACAGAGAGAAAGAAGTGTTCCTGGCTCAGGGCTTCCTGGTGGCTGCTGATGCCACGCTGGCCTTTGGGTCCCTGGGACGACTCAGATGGCACCCCACTTTACGAGGATTCTCAAGTCACCCCCTCTTGCTGGCCTTCATTTGCTCATCTGTAAAATGGGTACCCACTCAGTCACTGTTCAACTGGTCACTCACCCTGTGATGGACTTCAGCAGAGCCCTGCCCTCTGGGTACCCCAGTCCTTGCATCCTTGTCACAGCAGCACAGCTGCCGTGCACAGAGGGGGCAGCTGGTGGCCAGCGGAGGTGGGGAGAGCCCCGGGGGCAAGGCTGGGCCTGTGCTGACAGGTCTGAGCCTGTTGCCAAGGGTGGCTCAGGGATGAGTCAGCGGGGCCTGCTGCCTGGCCTCCTGTGTGCTGGCCATACCCGGCTCAGGTCCTGCCTCCTTGGGCCTCTCCCAGCCCCCCAGGAGGTCTCCCCAGTTCCCCAGTGGTCTCTTGGGCCTGTAGTGCTCAGCACAGGTGAACTGGGTGGTGGCCTGGAGGAGGCTGTGGCTGCCCCCCCCCATCTCCTAGGCCAACAGGGGAGGCTGCTTTGTGAGGTAGTGACCCTACCATCTGTAGAGGTAAT